TTTAGTGTTTGTGTGAATGACACTGTGTACCTTCTATGTATATATATTAGTATTTTCCTTCTCAGCTTTTGGAAGAGTTGATTGTGATGAGCTTTGATTCATCATGTGACTTTCTCATCACCACCTGTTTTTGGTGGTTATCAGCATTTTAATGGTTTAAAACAGATATTAGTACTTCAATATGCGGGTTTATTAACATTACATCAGTTAATGAAATAGGGTTTTTTATTGTGAATTTAAGTTAATTCTGTAAAACCTAAAATGTTGCTACTATATTTTTAACGGTGAAGTTCTGGCAACCACAGCTGCCGTAAATGTCACAGTTTTTTTTTTTACAGGTAGGCCTACCTAGTGGATAAACAAATGAAAATTATTTTTTTCAGACCACAAAATGACTCTGATTTGCCTCTTTGCATTGTAATCTAAACCCCTTTTCTCTATTTTAACCTTAAATACTACATTAATTGAAATATAAGTATTAGAAACATTAGAAAAAAATTATTTAAGTCATTAATAGACCATAATTATTGCACAAATAGTATTTAGTACCAAAAGATCTCCTTAAAATATTAAAAAATATTATTGAACTAAAATATAGAACATTTATTTAACTGAAAAAATAGTTAAGGTGTATGGTCACATTATAGGTAAGGGATACCTGAGGGTTAAATACAAGAAAAACATATTAATGTTGCCTCTCTATCACTCTCCAGAATAAAATTATACTGTAAATGTCATCGACATATAATCAATGCATAATATGCTGTTATTTTGACCAAATATTGCTACAAATACCTGTATAAGTGAAGCCAGTACCGTTTCTAGGCATAGGCAAGCTAGGTGGTCACCTAGCGCGCCAATGAGCGCACATACTGGCACAACATTTTAGCAGGGTTGTGACGGCCACCCTGAAATATGATTGCCGCCCCAATGGATCCCCCAACATCATTGGGCTAGAGTACTGTCGATCTGACGATGCCTGCATGCTATTGGATCAGAGCGCTGTCAATTGCTGCCGGATTGTTGCATGCAAAGTCTGCATTTGGAGTGCTCAACAACACTGTTAGATCAATAAGTTCTGTCAGTGCTTTGGCAAAGTAGCACTTTTTTTGCCATGCAATAAAGCTAAGTTCAAAGGCCAATTTAAAATATCGGTACAGTAAAAAGTGCACAAAATGAGTATTTCATCAAGGCAGTATTTGTGGCAGTTGAGAAATCATGCTGCAGAATTCCAAAACGTTTGCGACTTTTACGGCCAATTAAAAAATATTGGTATAGTAAAATTCGCTAATTCACAAGATCAATACATCCTTTATTAAACCGCTTTGTTGCATTTAACGCATCCTTACGGAAGTGTTGAAATGCTGATTGGCTTAATTCAAAGCCAATTTGGATTTCACCTAAGCCGGTTTCACACTGGATGTGCAAGCAAGCAGAGACCGCGCAGAAGCTGTGTGTATGCAGAGTGGGAGCAACACGCGCCCATTGAGCTTCCACACTGGCAGCGTTTGTCATGCGCAGCTGAACCGCGGCTTATGTACTGCAAATACAGATGAGTATCGTTCATTCGGTCGCGTTTTTCAGGTGTTCTCCGACAGCTGTCTCTCGTGCTTTGATTTATGATATGGGCAGCATACTTTGCTGTGATGCGCTCGTGTTCCCCTCTGCCCCACACACACATGCATATGCTGTGTAGAGGAGTTTGCATGATAAAAGTAATCTTAACGTTAAAATATACATATAAACTATAGTGGACAGGGCCGTCGCTAGGAATTCTGGGCCCTGTGCACTGAATTTGCAATGGGGCCCCCTCAAATTCACATTCTGTGTGGGAGAGGGGGTGTTCGCGATCGCAAAATCACATTTAGTATGTTCGCGCTTGCAAGATAACGTTCAGTTCACCATCGCCCCCCCACCCCTCACCATGGGGGCCCCTGTTACTCAGTTCCACTATTACCCCCTGTCTGGCGTCCCTGAGTGTGGAAGCCCAATTGTTACATGCTGCTCCTGCTCTGCATACGCACAGCTTCTGTGCTGCCTCCGCTTTGCTTGCGCATCCAGTGTGAAACCGGTGGAAGGCGTCAAAATGGCAAGAAACGGCCCCGAGTGAAGCTGTCGTCTATCCTCCTTTAACACATTAGTTTGTTTGGAGCTATTGAGAGCTCCGTGAACCGATGGTGTTGAGTGATCAAATTTAGAGGCTACAACAGGCAGCGAATCAGACAGTGATTGACAGCGCTCTGATCCAATGGCCAAAAACTCTCTGATCAAAAAAATCACAAACCACATTCGACAACATATAAAAAACAAAATTATTTTATTTTATGAACAAATGTGGAAAATTAAAAGCATAGGGGAAAAAATCAAGCCATGTCATCTTAAATTCCTGTGCAGTAAATCAGCTGTCAGCAGCATTCCTGTGTATTCATCCCGAACCATCACGGTACGGGCGTCACGGTTCGGTACATGCAGTCGAATTAACCATGGTTTTCTTGTAGTAAAAGTGTAGTGACCATAATTTTTTTGGCGTATTGATTACCATTTGTATAACCACAGTTTTACTGCAAATACCATGGTTAAACTATGGTTAGTATAGCAAAACCATGGTTAATTTGTGGTTACCATGGTTTAACTATAGTAACCATGGTTTTTTTTGTTTTATTTGTGGTAAAACCATGGTTCATTTTCGTTAAGTCCACGGGTCCGTAGGGTGTCCCATTCCGCATTTTAGCTTTCAGAAGGGTGCTCGCTCTCACTTCTGCCGAGCCCGCACTGATGCGATCTCTGTGGCAGACTTCTACCAGACAGTCAAAGCGGCATTACGTCACGAAAATGTGGACTGCGAGGATTTAGGGTGCAATTTGAGACAGGGCCCTAGGTGATCAGTCCAGACGGGGGTGTGCGGTAATACAACGCTAACCGTCACAACAGGAAAGAGCAGAAGAAGAGACGATCTACACACCAACCCCAAACAAGAGCGGCGAGTTCAGATAACATGAAGGGCTCAAAGAAGCTCCAGCTTGTTTTAAATCAGCAGTGTGGGAAAATGTTCGGGGTCTAGAGATGCCGGTTTTAAATAAGAGGGAAACTAACAAGATAATTTAACTAAACAGGTGAACTAATTAGACACACTAAGAAAACTAGGTCAGGGATAGGATGGCAAGACAAACACAACAGAAACTGTGATAACCTTAAGTTGTTTATGTGCTCCTTTATATTCTGTTAACGTCCAGTAATTATTAGTCTGCTAACTGCACTTTAAGAGAGTTGTTGATATTGTTTGATTTGATATGTTTTATTGTAACAGTATGTTTCTCATCTTTTTAAGTGGGAGAACTTGCACAATTGGTGGCTGACTAAATACTTTTTTGCCCCACTGTATGTTTGACATTTAGTTATTTACCTCTGTTTTATTGTTCATTGCAGAAACTACCTCCAGTGCATAATAAATATGTGTATATGGACTGCACATAAATCCATGGTGGTAAGATATCTGATGACTCCTACTCCCTGATCAGAGTGCTGAAGTTTAACACCATTAAAGAACCGGAATTTAGCGGGGCTGTCCATAACATCGCCACTTCTGGGAAGACTCGCTACCATGCTGAGTTTTTTCATTTGGAGATAATGTTTTTTTCTAATAGCTTCTCTATTTGGAGATTTCACTGTGGTTCATTGGAGTCCACTAGTGTTTGAAAGAGCTTTCCATAGAAAACTGAGCTGATCTTGGCAGCACAAACACTTTGTTTTAAACTGAACCAGGATCCTGCTCCCCCCAAATCCTGGTTTCACAGCCAATCAGCACCAAAATTCAGAGGAGCTTGAGAATGCCATCTGTTGTCTTTGGTAACAGATATCATGCTTTCTTATTCTAACATCTACTAAACTGCACAGCAGTGAGGATGTTTGCCTTTGACATTTTCTCTTTTTTGTGCTACATTTATCATTTCAATGAGTCATCAGAGATTTCACTGCTGCTGTGTTGCTGCAATAGTTCTGTTAAAAGGAACTGCAAGATGACACATGGAATAAAAACGTATGCGTAATTTAAGTTTTGACCAGTGTAATTGCCTGAAAATGTCATTTGAATGTACTAAACACATTTCTTTCTATAGGTTAAGTTGAAAGCATGTGTGTTTGGATTTCCAGCATGCTCAGCGCTGGTGCCTTTCTTCATCATTTCAGAATAGAATGAAATGGCATCATTCAGAATGATTTATATTTGATGTTTTACAGTTAGAATTTTATGTATTTGCCAGACTTTTATTCAAAGTGCCCCATGTTCTACTGTTTGAGCTACAGTAACTTATATTTCTATAAGCCCTGTAAATACTGACATGAAATAATAGAAAAATCTAATTTTCTGAAATGGAACAGTTTATTGAACCTTTAGACTTTTTTTTTTTTTTTTCAAGTTTGCTTTTTTTAATATTTTCATATTTGATGCATCAGGTTTTTATGGCTCATTTAGTGAGAATACGGAGCACACAATCAAAGAGGGGGAAAAACAGAGTTGTATTCAGAGGCCCAAACTGAGCAAAACTATGCAGTTGGGTGCAGATGCTGATATTTATATGGACAAAAAATACTATAATGTAAATCAATTAAATTTGTATAACAATATAACAGACTACTTATTCAAATAATATAAATACCACTCTATACCTCCCAAAAAATGTCTTAGTAAGATGATATTTAAATGCTTAGTTTTATTATCAAAGCTCTGTGCGCTGTTAAAAAATATATATCTTTTGAAGTCGTAAATAAAACAATTGGACTATGGATTATTGGACTATGTTTTACAAGAAAATACTATTTCAGTTTTTGTACTTAAATGTTTTTTTATATATGGATAATCAAGTAAACCTAAGTTGCTTCAGTCCATTAAGTGTTCATCTTGAAATATTACTAACAATATCAAAGTTATTCATATGTTTACTTTATAAAAAATCAGTAAAGATTCACAGTAAAAAGATATGTGAAACACAAGGCAGTTTTACAATTACACTAAAAGGCCCTTTGCCTGCTAAAAAATAAACTATTATTCAGATGACAGAAGCAATGTAGTTTGTGTGTAACATGTTTGTTTGTGATGATAATTTAGAGTTCTTAGAGAATTGCATATATATATATATATATATATACATATACATATATATATATATATATATATATATATATATATATATATATATATATATATATATAATACAGTAGGCCTTATTAGGTTAAGAAATTTTTTATTTTTACATGTAAATTATTGATAATTCAGTGAAATCCAACAATTTAGACATTTAGTTGCTCTTAAAAATCCTTTATTGTTATGTTTTCTTGATCTCAATTGTCTTTTGGCAGCACTTCTTATATTGTTTCTAAATTATTTTATTATTGAGGGAAATTTAAATTTAATAATAGCCATTAAAAAAGAGAGTTCCTTGGAAGAGAAGAATACTGAGAAATCATAATTGCGCAATAAAATCTCACATGTTGTGTGGGAGTGACTGTCTTTAAAAGGGAGTCTGCAGGCCGCTGTTAGGCTCACAACCGACTGACTACACCACTACACTACAGCCTTTTGATTCCTTCACTGGTGTTGCTCTGCACAATACTGACTCAGAAAGATGAAACTCACAGTATCGGCTCTCGTGCTTCTTATCTGCACAGCTGCACTGCTGTCCACAACAGAGGGTAAGCAGACTAACGTTCACTCATCATGCTTTCTGACCTTTTTGATGAATATTTCATGCTAATCTTACAGGAGCTCTCTCTCTGTCACTGCAGGTAGACCTAAACGCCTACAGCTACGCTGCAGCTGCCCTCAAATGCATTCAGAGTCAGCAATTCCTGCTGTAAAAATACTCTCATTGAGGGTTATTCCTGCTGGACCACATTGCAAAAATGAAGAGATCATGTGAGTGTGAAACACTTCAAATACAGACACATAATATGCAGTAGGAGTCAAAACGTTCTTTTTTTACGGCTTCTTCAAAAAGCCTAGAGCTATTACAGTTCACTAAAACAAAAAAAAACTATTAAAAATTACAAAAACAAACAACAAAGTTGAGAAAACTTGTCCCAAGATGCATTCTGGAATACATTTAAACATAATTTCAGGAATTCACAGTGAATCTTCTAGATTAAAAGCTCTTTAAGATCAAGAGAGTGTACAAACATTTGACTGGTTGGTGGATGGATGGTTCATATTCTAAATGAATGAAATTTGATCATATTTACTCACCTTCAGCCTGTATGACTTGTATCTTCACCAGTGAATGCCTGAGCTGTTCTTCTTTAAAAAGTTTTTTTTTTTTTATCATAAAAGTCTTGCTTTTTGCTTGGCAGTCGTGGTCGCCATTGAGTTTTATTGTATCGGAAAGAGTAACTTGGACATTCTGCTAAGTAACTTATTTTATGTTCCTCAGAAGAAAGAAAGTCATACAAATTTAGCAGCACTTCATTGCGAGTCAATTATTTCTATATTTGGGTGAACAGTTCAGTTAGAATGATGCAATCAGAGTGTGACTCATGTGTATCATTTTATGCAATAATTAAGAGTCATTCTATCAATTTTAAAGAATTACGTCATTTGTTTCTTACAGTGCCACAATGAAGAAAGGACCGATGTGTCTTGATCCTACTAAAGACTGGGTGATTTCTCTCAAAGAAGAGTAAGTTCTTGTTTATGATGGCTCTCATTATTTGTCTTAAAATGATTCATTTGCATGATGAACTGTGTAATAAAAATTTATAATAATGAATATTTTTAAATTTGTACACTGCAGCACTTTGGTGCACCTTTCATCCTTCAGACACTAACATGTGTCTCTTCATGTTTGCAGAATCAACAAGAGGAACGTCACAAGCCAACAATGAATGAATATCACTGTTCAAAGAAACTGGTTCAACTATTACTGTAATATAGAACTTCTGATTTTGTCATCTCTGAGTGATATGTGAAATATTGAATGTGAAAATGTGCTCTCACTACCACCTGTTTATTAAAGGTGAACTTGCCTGAACGTCATTATATTTTATAAAATTATATTTATTGTCGTTGTGTCACTGAATTGTCGTTGTATATGCTCATATAGTTTTGTATTGCCAATGAATGAATATCACTGTTCAAAGAAACTGGTTCAACTATTACTGTAATATAGAACTTCTGATTTTGTCATCTCTGAGTGATATGTGAAATATTGAATGTGAAAATGCTCTCACTACCACCTGTTTATTAAAGGTGAACTTGCCTGAACGTCATTATATTTTATAAAATTATATTTATTGTCGTTGTGTCACTGAATTGTCGTTGTATATGCTCATATAGTTTTGTATTGTTTTTAAAAGAAGAATAAAAACTGTCATAATGGATATTTTAGGTGTGCCTTTTTGTCATCTCATAAATCATTACAGTGAAAGGAGTGAAATTATTTCCTTATGAAATTATTTCCTCATGAATCCAAACCGTCGGGAACTCTCAAAAACAACTGCCATGCAACAAAACAATAAACTTTCTAATCTGACGGGAAGATCTAGAAGAAACAACAGTCCTTTCACCCACCCTTAAGCCCCTCTCCTTCCTTCCTGGGCAGATGGCCCAGGTCACAAAAAGTTGACTTAAGCATGTCAAGAACTCAAGTTACTATACTTATATCATGCATTTACTGTATCTTCAGAATACATAATCATAACCCTTTCATGTTTGGTATTGTTCTAAAGGTCTCTGTGTGATTGGTAAAATGGTCTCAATTTCACAGTAGTCACTTGTGTTATGAGAAATATGAAAAACTTTTGTAGAATTGTGTTCTGCTGAGGAGGGTGTGTGTCCCTCTTTAGGGCCTGTGGGAATGTTTATCTGTCCCCAGCCAGGTGCAACCCTGGAGCATGGAAACCTGAAAAACCAAAATGTGTTTTATGTTTTTACAACTGGTTTGAAGATGTCTTTGTTTTTGCTCTGGTAGTATTTAAGGGAAAGTTGCAAATGAGAAAAATGCCCCATGCTGTGTGTGAGAGTTTCTGGAGCTCTGCACCAGAACCCTCGCTGCTGTGTGTCTCTCTGCTGTCAGGTATGATTCAAAAATGTAATTGTGCCCATAGAGCACAGTTGTTTGTGCTACTACATGTGCACATAGGCTAGTTAAGTTTATTCTTTAAAAACACATGATTACTTTGCTGTAAGTGTTCTTTGAAATACTTAGGTAAAAGGTTGTTGATGCTATATGCATTTTAGACCGTGTGTCTTGTGTTAAATTAGGATAACTGTTACATGTGTGACTATGTTAAATTTGTTTGTCTCCTGCGTGGAACACATGGCTATTTTCCATATAGCTACAGTAAACCATGTACCGGAGCAGGGTTGCCACGCGGATACAATATGTTTCACAATTGCAGTATCCTTTCTAAATTGGCTTCTAGTTGTTTCATTATGCAATTGGCATGATACAATTTTACCTGACAAATAATAAATTGTTATATTTGATTTATTCTGATCTCTTCTGAAATCATTTTTCAAGTAGATTAATGTGTAGTGGTATTTCCGCAAATCTTCGTTCGGGACAGATCATACGGATGAACCAAGGGGAACACTATTAGGGGCTTCTGATTTCTGACTGTCACTGGCTTAACATGGTGTAGTTCTCGTGGTTATAGGAGAAAATACAGTTTTTGTTATGAGCATGCAGGGTGCAGCTCACTTAAAGTTATTATAACCACTCTGCATCCTCTGAGTAAGGTCAGAACTGACGAGTTTGTGTCTGTGGGTTCACTATCGGCCGAGTGCCATTCCTGTGCGATACCTGGTCCCTAATGAACGAAGAATTGAAAGAATGGGATTTCCAGAATACTCAAATATCTAAATCAGGGGTGCCCAACCCCGGTCCTGGAGATCTACCTTCCTGCAAAGTTCAGTTCCAGCCCTGATCAAACACACCTGTCTGTAATTATCAAGCGCTCCTTCAGATCCTAATTAGTTGGTTCAGTTGTGTTTGAGCTGAACTCTGCAGGAAGGTAGCTCTCCAGGAACAGGATTGGGCAGCCCTGATCTAAATGAATATAAAATCGATATCTGTGATCAGTTTTTAATTCGAAATATCTCCTAAATTTAATGATCACTTGAAATTGGAGTCAGATTGAACACGGAGCTAGATTAAAATTTAAACTAAATCCTGATCAATTCAGAAGCGCAAGTAAAAGACAGAATACCTTCGAGCAGGCCGCTGGATTCTGCTTTTTGGGCTGGCGGGTGGATTCTTACAACTGTATCATTCCCTGAGCTGTTCAAATTTAATTTGAAAAGTGAATTTCACAGAAAAATGATTAATCTTATATTCGCCCCTCACGTCTTTCCAAATGTGCATGACTTTCTTTCTTCTGCAGAACCCAACACGAGACTGTCTGAAAAATGTTCTGTTTATTTGCATGCGTTATAAAAAACATGGACTTCAGTCTTTCAAAGGCATTATAAAGCGGTCATAAAAATAGATAAAAAGAATAGGCCATATAACTCATGCACTGTAAATGTCTTCTCTGTGATTTTTCACAAAACAAGCATGATTTATTTGCAAATCTGACTAGATCTGTTTTTTGAGGAGCAGCCCAATGGAGGAGAATGTTCAAATAACTGTAAAAAATATACATGTAAAATATGATTAGTCTTACTGTGTGTTTACTGCACTGATGAATTAGTATATTAATCATTTGTGATTGTGTCGGCTTTATTATTTATTTATTTATTTCAGAACGAAACCTTTAGACAAAATAGCTGTTAAAAATCGAAAAAAATAAAAATCTCAAACAAAAAGTTTGCATGTGTGATTTTTGCTCAGTATCATATTTGATATTACATCAGGCTTTTATGGCTCATTTAATATGATATAGTGAGAATATGGAGCTCAAACACGAGGTGAAAAAAAAACACTTCAATTTTATTCAGAGGCCCAAAACTGAGCAAAAAAAATAAGCAATTTCTTGCCGATGCTGATATTTATATAAACAAAAATAAGATGAAATTCTGATGGCTTGTTTTGTAAATGCTTGTATTGAAAATACTCTGTAATTTCATAATGCAATGCAATGCAATACAAACATGATTGAGAGATTCCTCAAAAGCCTGATGATCATATTTGATACTTACATTTGAACATGATTTTTCTAAAAAAAAAAAAATAAATATGATGGAAAGATAATCAATGAAACCTTAGTTGCTTGAGTCCAGTAAGTGTTCATCTGAAATTATTACTAATAATATAAAAGTTATTCATATATTCACCTCACAAAAATCCATAAAGATTTAACAGTAGAAAGACACGCGGGACACAAGCTCTGAAGGTGGACAGTTTTACAGTTATAATAAAAGGCCTTTTAAATAAAAAGTATAAACTACATCCCCGACAGCATGGAAGAAAAACTCCTTCAGACATGGTAAACTCACTTTTAAATAAAACGTTCAGCATCAGCAACAAAATGTACCAAATTTCCCCGTAATGGTTATTGCTACAGCCTACTAGTGTTTAAAATGCATATATTACAGGTTGGTAAAGCCAATGCGCATGTGCAGTCAAGCACGCACGTGTCAGGACACTGATGCTGCGTCCCAATTTGATAACTGTAAAAGTATCTTTTTGTGAAGAAAAAGTACATACTTTTGAGTATACTTGAGTTACCTTGTCATAACTGCATCTTTAATGGACCACTCAGTTGCTTAGTTACATGCATTCTGTCACCGTTTAAACTGCCCTGTCAATCATCTTGTCACACTGACTCAAAATGCTGGGTTAAATACAAATGGGTTGTTTTGACCCAGCGGATGGGTTCAATGTTTAACCCAACCTTCTGGGTAGTAACCCAACCGCTGGGTCAAAACAACCCAATTGCTGGGTTTGTCCCTATTTTACCCAGCACTGGGTTGTATTTAACCCAGCATTGTTTAGAGTGCACAGTTAACATCATTCACATTTTGTTATTTTGATTTCCTATGGACCCTTTTCACAAGACTGTGATGACACGTTTCAGCGGTCATCAGCTTCGTAAATCCTCCAAATCTGTGTTTTTTTTTTATTTTATTTTTTTATGTATGTGCATGTATAACTAACGCTAAAGCGAGGGTGTTTCTGTCTGTGGGAGACTGGGAGTGACGGTAAATTGACGGTAAAAATGATGACTTCTGCTACTGAGAAACCAGGAAATATGAAAAAGTTCCATTGGAGAGAAATGAAGAGGAACGTTGATCTGCCAGTCCTGGGTCTATCATGCCGAGAACTCTGCTCGTGTTTTTGTATAATGATGCATTTAAAAGTTAATGACCAAACATATCTTTATAAAGTTCACAGTGTCGCTGCAGATGAAATATAACGCGGATAATATTAAATAAATATTTTTTCAGTAGACATTGATTATTTATCACTCAAACCCCTTTCTCTACCTGTGGGAGTGACGGTAAATTGACGGTAAAAATGATGACTTCTGCTACTGAGAAACCAGGAAATATGAAAAAGTTCCATTGGAGAGAAATAAAGAGGAACGTTGATCTGCCAGTCCTGGGTCTATCATGCCGAGAACTCTGCTCGTGTTTTTGTATAATGATGCATTTAAAAGTTAATGACCAAACATATCTTTATAAAGTGCACAGTGTCGCTGCAGATGAAATATAACGCGGATAATATTAAATAAATATTTTTTCAGTAGACATTGATTATTTATCACTCAAACCCCTTTCTCTACCTGGCTGTTGCACATCCCCCATGTTTGTAGTTTTTTAACACTTTTTATGCGTGTATGTAGTTCTAATCGAATCTTCATCCAACGCGCAATGTATTGTGAATCTGCACTTCGAATTCTAACAAGAAGTAGTAGACCATCCGGGAATCTCTGGCATACTCATTCCAACATACTATGAGTATGTATAGTATACATACTATATATAATATATACTATGAGTATGTATTATATCAATAAGTATCGCTTTTTATTTACTTGTTTCACTTCTGTTTCAGTTTTTATAACCATTTCTTACTATGTGTAAGTAAGTTGTTGTTTTTTAGCATGTGTGTTTGGCTCAGTGT